ATATACACATACACCATACACCATGTGGGCCTTATTCAGTTCCCCTGTAAGATAGAGGGTTGCATGTTACCAACAACCTGACAACAAAAATAGAGTAGTTAATTACTCATATCAATAAGCCAACACTGAAGATGATAAATGCGTAGTACATGCTCTTTTTAGGACTAGTTTTTGTGTGTTAGGTTTAATACCTAAATTCTTTTAATGTGGCATTAATAAATGGTATTCAACATGTAAATATTAAAATAGCATTCATAAAAGTATAGTGGACATTTTTTCCAGAAATGACAAGGTTAATAAATGACAATATATAGAACTTAAAGCAGATGACAAACCACTATTCGTTTATTTTAGCCAGCATTGATGTGTAAATATGTGTATTTATTTATTTATTAGCGGGTTATTGGAAATTTAGCTTATTTAAAATTTAGCGTATTTAGGAAATACTGATGTGCCCTATTGGCCACCCCTCAGTGCTCAAGGGTCCCTGCCTTTTCACAAATCTTTACTGGGAAAACCAATACATGGTGGGTGCTGTCCATGCTAATTCAAGATTCAAAGTAGAATTAAAAGCAGCCTCTCAAGAACTGATGAAAACATATCATTGGTAGCTGTCAGAACTTTTTAAGAACAAGACTGAATAAAGTCTCTATGCTTTGTGTTGCTTGTCCCCCCATTTATGAGTTGCTCCATTATTCATAACAAGGAATAAGAAACTGAAGGCTAATTATATACTCTTCAAGAGCAAAACTCATTAGCTACCGGCGAAACCTCACCATAGCCCTGGTTCCTAAAATGTCCTCTAACCTCCAAGCCACTCCGATAATAGTCTCATACAAATAGACAGCCATACACTCATGTGCAAACACACACTCAAACAAATGTGCATATTTTTGTAGGACGCAGCTGAATGAGTAATGCCTTCTAAAACCAGAACACCTCAAAAAACTGCTTTGAATGTTTGCAGGAGGCATCTGTACAGACACGCAACGTGATGAGAGAGAGTTGTTCATTAATAGGATTAAATACTAAAGCTAATGGTACAAACCGAGACACAGGATGTGTCAGGTATGTGATATGTGGCACAGCACAGGGTAAGTTTTAGCATCAGAGTGAGGAGGAGGGGGGGTTTCAGTAGAGGTTGTTATTGTCATGGATTACTCACTGCCACTTGATCTGCCTATAGCAGTAATCCCCAATCTAAGCTCCACAGAAAAGCAAAAACACACAGGAGTTATGTTACACCAATGGATATGTCTTGAAAACATCCCTTTGTAAGCCAGTAGATGGGGGCTTTGTTGACATATCTCTCCCTTCCCCCTGCTATTCATTTCCTGCAGTGATTTATCTTGAATTAGCCAGTCATGATACCAATTTTATAACCAGCAATCTCAGTTTGGCTTTCTTTTGCAAATTCCTTTCCCTCTCTCATAAGCCAGGTCTTCATAAAGGGTTTATGGTGTTTTGATTTGATGCAGAGCTTGATGGGATCTGGCAACGGCTGACTGGTTGCAGGGGGGGCCTTGGGAGCAATCGTTGCCTTGATGAAGGAGTCTATGGGAACTCATCAGAGACAGTGCTTTTTAGAAGGGATGCATAGTTTCCGGCCCCTGCTAAGCACTAATGCAAGATTCCATTTATCAGCTTATCACAAAGCATCAAGTTTCTCACATATTTTGAAACACGTATAAAGCTGGACAAGAAGTAATGATGCTTTAGGACAGACATTTTCAAAAAGCTTTCATGGTTCATCTGATAACCTTTCGACAGGGGTAACTGTCCACGCTGGAAGTCAACCAGGAACAACCAGAAAACCCAACACTCCCTGCCGTCAAGTACAGATAAGATTCATTATATGAGCATGTACAAAAGATGCCAGCTCCTACACAAAAATGTTGTTGGTTTTGTATATGTGATCACACAAGTAGTAGGCATCTCCAAAGTAATAAATGTGGGAGTCAAACCCGCTGTGGCTGCAGGTGTAGGGCCTGCTGCAGGATATGGAGCTGCTGCAGGGGAGAATGGAGCGCAGTCATTTAAAAGAGACGTCTGCAGTCTATGGCTCTTGCTACCCCGCACCACCCGCCATCCCTCCTGGCAGCCTATTGATGTCAGAAAAACCTGCTCTCTTCCCAGAGGAGAGAAACTGCTGAAACTGCCACAGAGAAAACCCCCAGCAAAACCCTGCACCGGCACCCCCACAACCATATTCAGCAAAGAAAAAAGCCTGAGCACGAGGGAGGGAGGGAGAAATTCATTGACAGAGAAAATAGGAAGCGGTTAGGGGTGGGTCTAAGTAAATGAACTGTGCCTGGAGAAGAAAGGTTCTTTTAGAGTCCTTTCCTGACCACATATGGGCTCACTCCCACAGGCAAGAGGGATGGGAGAGGGTTGTTATAGAATAACAACAGGTGGTCCAGTGTAGTTTTACAATTACATATGTTTCTCTCTACATCCAAGCTGAACTTTTGAATCACCTCAGAAATAATTTATCCTCTTGAGGAAAGAGACAATAATTAATTGAACCACACCATTTCCTTATATGTCACAGCTAGTTAAAACCATGACTCTCAAGAAAGAAGAATGTGAAAGAAAGAAATATGAAGAGTTAGAAAACTAATCATAGCAATTTACAATTACAGGTATTGAAAGGTTTGCTTATAAAAAATGAAATCAATAATATAGACTTATTAAATGCAGAGTCTGGCATTTCATCTCCTAATTTGATGATTATAGGCTAATGAAAGCTCAAGGTTAAGCTTTCCAGAACAAAGAATATTGTACAAGATCAATAAAAAATTAGTAAATGCAGCATGTTATGTTTTATTCATGTTAAAGTCCACACAAAAATGCTGAACTGACAGGTGGACACCAAGACCCTCCACATGAAGGATAAGCCTGAAAAGGTTATTACTAAAGAAGTTGGCTTATTATGTAGAGCTCTGCCTAAGCATATTTATGGAAAATTTGGTGGAAGGAAAATGCGTAATTCAAAAATTATCTAAAAGGAAGGAATATTGCAGTTTGGAGTAACAAAACATGGACTATGGTTATGGTCAATGCATCTCGGGCTATTTACAAAAGAGAATCCAGGATAAGTGTTTAATACTCGTGCTTGTCTACTAGGTAACCTGGTCCAAAGTCTGGCCAGCAAATTCACCTGACCCAAGACCCTTAGAGAAAATATTTTGTAAAAGGAAAAATAAGAAAAACAAGACTGAAAATATTAAGCCAAGCTTTTTTTTCACTAAAGCTTTCACAACTTCTAAAAAATAACATAATATTCTCACTTTCTGAGAAACTGTAATTTGGGTTTTCATTGGCAGTGAGTTGTAATCACCCAAATCAACCGAAATAAGTTATTATACCACTGCGTGTAAATATATAATTGAGGTAGTAAATCTATATAGCATATGAGTCTCACTTGGATTGAGTTACTGAAATAAATTAGTAATTCATCAAGATAGATTTGTTAATGCGCTCAAAGGGGAACTTTTCAGTTTTACTGTACCAGTCGTACATTGATTAAGTCTGCTTTAACTGCAGCAGTCCTTTCTTTACAAAATGAAAGATATTCATCATATAACTGAATATGTAACAGCTCTTTTTATGCAGATTAGTGGTCAAAAGGTCATGCATATCATTGGAGTACGGATAATGCTATTTGTGCCTTACTTTGCACGTGTCTAACCAGGCAGACAGGCTGACAGACAGACAGACAGACAGACAGACAGACAGACAGACAGACAGACAGACAGACAGACAGACAGACAGACAGACAGACAGATCCTTACTTTGTACGGTGAGGAAGGCTATGTTGGAGATAATTGCATCACTTCTCTCAGATTGGCCAGCTTGACACTCAAAGGATGCATCATCTTCAAGCTGTGCATTTTCAATCCTAAGATTATATTGTCCTGAAGGAGAGACAGAGATACATGCTTACTCTAGTATTGTATAAAATGTAAAAAAAAAAAAAATACTTTATCATAACATAAAAAGCAGTCTGTCACATTAAGATTTTCATCCAATAAGATTGTTCATCACTCTGCAATCTTTCAAACCACTAAATCAGCTCTGAGCAGAATACCCTTCAAATATCTTTAAAGTGAAGTGTTGAAAAGTCATAAAAAACTATTTCATCTCATCTTCTTTTTGATACCTCACCCAATAAATCTAATTATTGAAGATAACGGATCATCCAAGAGGGGCCAAGAGCAATATGGTCTTCTACTTCCTAAAGAAAGTCAAAGCTAAAAATTAATGTGGTGACAAAAGCTTTTTCCAGTATGATACTGTAAAGGAGAAATGTAGTGTTTCTAGCCAGATTAGCGGCCAAACAGAAAAGTATGCCAGCATATAAAAATAAAATCATAAAATTAAGGTACACCTTAACTATTATTCTACGTTTTTTGTTCATGATATTCAACCTTTATACCAGACAATTACTCTGAGATGGAATGATTCATTTCTAGAATGTTTTTCACACAGGAAACTTATGAAGGGTGCATCGACTTTTTCCATTCTCTGTAGAAATAAACATTTACTTATATGTAATTTAGCACTTTATTCAGTCTGTCATACAACTGAGCTTGAGTGAGCAACCTTTTTTTTATTTTTTGAGTGAAACAACTCCTTTCTTGAAAATATCGCAGCAGTTCATTTGAATTCTGTTTGTTAAACCTTTAAACTTGAAACATTTGTATTTAAACAGACTTTTTAATGAGGTAGTTGAGGTTGAGCATTATGACAAATCTTGTTGTGTGATACTATGACTGAGTCCTTTAAATCATTGACAGTTTCAGTAACCTTTCACCAAAGGACAATGGAAAAAAAATATATTATTTTGTCTGTAGCAAACATTATTGAAATTATTTTCTACTGCCCTACTTCTCTTTAAGACACTCACTCTTGCCGGATCACCTCCAGCCTCCATTCCCCTTATACATAAGTATCAGTAGGAAATAGTGTTTGCATAAGAACTACAACAGATGTGAGACTGGGGCCATTTTTAGACAATGGACATCCTGTTTTGTTTAAACTCTTCTCTAAATAGTTGATAGCTTGAGCTCCTAGGATCACCAAACAGGATTTATACTAAATTAGGACACTAAGAGAGTTGTCTTTAACTTTCATAACCTAAACCATCCCTTTTATATGACAAAGCCTTTTGAAAACCCTAAAAGGTTTTGAACCCAAACTTTCTCCATATGTTCAAACAATTAAGATAAGTTTATGATCTCTCAAATTATAAACAATTAACACTTATATATTTGCAAATGAAAGCATGTGAAATAAAGGCTTTTTAAAGTTCTTTCAGTGTACCCTAGTTAATGTACAAATCAAAATATGTTCTTTGTTGTACAATGATAAGAATAGCTCTTTAGAACTTATAAAATAAAAAAAATGAACAATATTCTGTGATATCTGGTAATCTTGCTATAAATAGACTATTTTCTTCTAGCTGTGTAGTGGAGATATCCGATTCTTTGAGAATCTCTAATTTCTTGCCCCAGGCATTCTAATTGATATGCAAGTTGCAGTGTACTGTATAGCTGAAGGATTGTTTTTTCTGCTTTTGCAGGAGTTTCTAATGCGGTAAATAAAATCCAATCTCCAATTCAGAATGCGAACTAAATAAACTGCCTATTATTTGCTGCCAGACAGAGTTCCTCACTATGTATCTCCCCACTGCTAGTCTAGCATGCCAATGGGGCTTGATTTGTTTGATGCTTTGCCACAACCTGTGGGGATTAGATGATGCTCACTGTTGGTTTTCCAACTCCTGATGGCTCACAGCCCACTAACATGTGGAAAATAGTATCTTGGTCTGACAACCACTCAGGCCTAAAAACGCATGTGTCAAGTAAGCTGGCAAGATAATTAACACCAACCAGAAGCAATTTTCACATCTAAGTTATCATTGAGTGCAGAGAGAGAGAGAGAGACACTGAAGTCATTAATCATGTTCCTCTTTTCTGAAATTATTCACAAATAGTGCAATCAAGTAGCAGCAAGTGTGTATTTATGGCAGAGGAGATGGTGGAAGGCAGAGACGTGATGTGCCTATTTGCCCATTACTTTGTATTTATTTCATCTAGATTAGAACTTTAGGAGGCTTTATGACTGAGGATAGATTCGCATACATATTGGCTGCAGTGAAAATAAGTGTTCCCTTTCCAAACCCCAATTATGGGGGGAAAGAAGGCCTTTCATATTGTTTTAGTAAAACTAGAAGCCATTTATAAAAATATCTGTTTTTATATCTCCCCTACAGCTATCTTCAACTCGTAAAAGCAAAAGCAACCAGTTGCATCTATCTCTCCCTTTCCGTCCTTCTTTCTATGTCTTTCTGTCTGGATGTCTATCTATCTATGTATTAGCAGATCTGGGTCTATTCTAATGTTGTCTTTCACCTTGATATTTTAGTGTGGATGTAATCTGCGGGGCAAGAAGGATCCCTCTTTGAACCTGTGTAGAATTACTGTGAAATTTCCACATTGAAAGTAATGCACTGCTGGAGTCTCTTAAGTATTAGATTAATTTCTTTTTTGCTAAATTATTAATGGTATAGATCTAAGGTTATGTGAAATCTATTGTTATTTTTCTGTTTATCTTATTTGACCTTCTTCCCTGTCAGGCCGCCTCCTGCTGTGATTAACAAGCAGAAGCAGCTGCTTTGGTTGATCTGATTGTTTGGCGATAGAGTGAGGAAGGAAACAGTTTTTACCAATAACGTCAATATTTGAATTTTTTGTAAGTCAATTTGGAGATTATTTCTGTCACTTTTATAAGTAAAGAAAACACCTTCAGTGTTGGCTGGACAATAGAGGGCGGTGAGCATAATGACCCTGAGCATAAAATTTTTTTAAAATTAAAATCTTAAATATTTTGAAATATTGCAAAAATAAGATGTATTTCCACCCTAGGGTGCAAAAATCTTTGCCCATTGGCTCTCGTTAAAAGTTGTACATATGCAGTTCTTAATCTGCAATACAAATGTATAGGAGAGCTTGGGGTGCACCTCTTCTGTGCCCTGAGGTGACAGGAAGTGTATTTGCTCACCACCTGACAGGTTGAGTTGCAGGAGTTGGAGATGCATTGGAGAGAGAGAGAAAGAGAAATGGTGCAAGAAACGTCCTTTTCTACTGTAGGACCTGCTTTAGCAAGAAGGCTTGGCTAACTGCATATAGCGAGGCTTACACTTTATTCTGATTTCCCTGCCTCCTTTTTCATTAACAGGATCTGACCCAGCATGGATAAAGACAGGTAGGCCTGATCTAAAGCATTTTTTTTATAAATGGCAAAGAAGAATAAATAATCTGGGATTTACATGGAAAATAATATATTGTTTTGTTTTTTCTAGATGTTTGTTACTTTGAATAGTTGCTCCTAAATAAACAAATTCTCAGAAAATGAATTATTTTATACATAAAAAAATATATAAAGCTGAGTAATATCATATTAGGTTGCAAGAGAAGCTGTAACAAGTACAAAAACTTCACTAAGAAAAGCACAAGGTTGGGGGACCCAGCCGAACACTCACAGACGAACAAAGAAAACAGCCAACGGCTGTGAGTAAAATCAGCTGATTGAGTTTATCAAAAAAAGCACCGCTGTGCTGCAAAGAAACAATTGATCACAGAAAGCAAAGTTGTTGACTTTGGAAAAGGATTGTGGCAAAGAATGATTTTTGTTGATTAACTTTTTCAAAAGTGAAGGGATCTGTGTGATAATTAATTATGTCTGACCCTGAAACATGTTCAACATGGATGCAGGTACTGTATATAGGTGCCAGGTTTGCTTCAGGAAAAATGTATTGAATTTTTATTATTTAGATAGCACACACATGGATTAATTCCAAGATTTCAGTGAGAATAATCTAGTTTCAAAAAATTAATCTATGTCCACCACTAATATTAATGTGTATATGTATATATATACAGTATATATTGTTGTATAAATATATGTATGTATTTAAACCTTTCAGGTTTTCTTAAGCTCTTCTCTGAGCCCCAGAGAAATACCAGGGACTCAGAGAAGAGCTGGAGAAAACTGGGAAGGTCAAGGCATCAGTGGTACCCATGGTCATTGGGGCCCTCAGGGCAGTGACCCCCAAACTGGAGGAGTGGTTACAGCAGATCCCTGGAAATGCATGAGACATCTTGGTCCAGAAGAGTGCAGTTCTAGGAACAGCAAAGATAGAGCGCAGAACCCTCAAACTCCCAGGCCTCTGAAAGAGCACCCAAGCTTAGAGGAAAAAGGGGGGAAGACCACCCGCGATGGGTGAGGAAGAGTTTATTTTTATTCATATATATATATATATATATATATATATATA